AAAAAAAAAAAAAAAAAAAAAAAAAAAAACAGTTATTTAAAAAAAGAAAGAAAATATTATGTGCTTCCTCCCAAAAAATAATTTATAGCATAAATAGTTTCCATTTCTTCCACTGGTTAAGTATTGTTGATAACAGCACTAAAGAAAATTAAGACTTACAAGCAGAATGCTCAAATTCTGCTCTTTCACAACTTATATATTAGAAGATTAAAGTAAAAATTAGAAGTTCAATAATGAATATAATTTATATAAGTGAATTCTGATGTTACTAAGGTTAAGAAAACTTTACTTTTGTTAAATAGGTAACTTAGCCTGTTTTATGTGAAAGATTAAAATTAACTAATCAAAAGTTAATCGGGGTTTCCTTCTGTGTTTATTATCAATAGACATTGAAAAAAATTACAGGGATTTAGGCCAGGCGTGGTGGCTTATGCCTGTAATCCCAGCACTTTGGGAGGCTGAGGTGGGGAGATCACGAGGTCAAGAGTTCAAGACCAGCCTGGCCAACATAGTAAAACCCCCTCTCTACTAAAAATACAAAAATTAGCTGGGCATGGCGGCATGAACCTATAATCCCAGCTACTCGGGAGGCTGAGGCAGGAGAATTGCTTGAACCACAACCCAGGAGGCGGAGGTTGCAGTGAGCCCAGATCGTGCTGCTGTACTCCAGCCTGGGTTACAGCGCGAGACTCCGTCTCAAAAAAATAAAAATTGTAATTCTCGTTCTCTCCCTTCCCCTCTCCTTTTTCCTTCCTCTCTCTCCCCTTCTCCCTCCCTCCCAGTGCTTCTCTTCCTCCTTCCCCCTTCTCCTCTTGGGGTCCCTTTTGGATTCAGTACAGATTCATTCTAGTTTTCTGTGTAGAGGTAGATATGAGCATGTTTTCAGGTTGCAGTGAGAAAAAGTAATTGTTTTGTGCTTGTTTTTGTTTTTGTCTTTGAGACAGAGTCTCGCTCTGTGTGGTGGCACAATCTCAGCTCACTGCAACATCTGCAGTGATTTCAAGCAGTTCTTATGCCTCAGCCTCCCAAGTAGATGGGACTACATGTGTGCACCACCATGCCTGGCTAATTTTTGAATTTTTAGTAGAAACAGGGTTTCTCCATGTTGGCCAGGCTGCTCTCAAACTCCTGCTTCAAATGATCGGCCCACCTCAGCTTCCCAAAGTGCTGGGATTACAGGTGTGAACCACTGTGCCCAGCCAAGAAAAAGTATTAATAATTGGATGCCTGTTTATGTCCTTTGAAAAACAAGGAAATGAAGAAAAGGTAGCATTTTGATAGGAAAAACAATTTCCATATGTATTTAAAAATAGGTTATTGTGATAAAATATGGACATACTATACTGACAAATTCTACAAAAAACTGTAATTGCCAAACCTTTTTAAAAAGAAAAATATAGGCCAGGCGCGGTGGCTCAAGCCTGTAATCCCAGCACTTTGGGAGGCCGAGGCGGGTGGATCACGAGGTCAAAAGATCGAGACCATCCTGGTCAACATGGTGAAACCCCGTCTCTACTAAAAATACAGAAAAT